TCAGGCAGTGCTGATCACACGGCCAGAGCGTGGGCTCTAGAGTACGGCGAGTGTACGCGAATCTATTGGAGAAATACCAGTTCTGTCACAACCATTCAATATTACGATGGCATAGGTTTTATACATTTCCTACTAATTGTCATCAATCCTATCATTCTTCTCACAATTCATCTCGTTATTCAGTCTATACGGGAGGCAGTGATTGCACGGCAAGACTCTATGATTCCAATTCTGGTGCTCTTAAACGGACGTGTTTAGGGCATATTAATGCCATCTCTGCTCTTAAAGTAATTTACTTTATATTTGACTTTTTACGGTAATATATAGTTATATGTATTCCTTTTATTTGGTGGTTTGGTTATAAATGGTTTACAGATTGTATTGTATTTGAATGACTTATAGGTAGCGCCGGGAAGAATGTTCACCGGTTCTTATGATGGAAACATATGTGTCTGGGATTGTAGTGGTATTATAGCCGACACTGTCTTTGGAAATGTAGTCAAATATGACAACGAAAACCAAAGTGAGAAAGAAGACAGTCTTAATGTACAAAATGCTGTCAAAGCACTCGATCAGTATATTCGAACATTTCGTTGACTACTCATTCATATTCAAGTATTTTATCTAAATATTATAATAATAATACTAAATCAATCGCATATCAACAAATTCTAATCATTTTTCAACTCACATAATACAATAAATCATGTTTACATTGCNCATTTCGTTGACTACTCATTCATATTCAAGTATTTTATCTAAATATTATAATAATAATACTAAATCAATCGCATATCAACAAATTCTAATCATTTTTCAACTCACATAATACAATAAATCATGTTTACATTGCGGTGAAAATGGCAACAATCGATGGTGTATTAAAAATTATTAACCACAATTAAAACACAATTTATTAAATGAGTTAAAAATTTCAAATACGCTGCACTATATGTGAGTCATATACTGTATATTATGCTTAATTTAGAGCTCGAAATATGCCAAATGTGTCGGAACCGAGTAAAACAGTCAAAATGGGCAAAATTGGGGAATTGACGTTCATTCAATTCAAACAATCATTATATGTTAGAATAATTTAAACGTGAATTATATTTGATAATAACATATAATTTGAGATTTTCTTTTGTTAATGAATGACTTCTATTTGTAAGAATATTCTTTAAATGTCACATATAATGTTCCCAGGTCAACATTTCAATTTCCTTAAGAATTGTACTTTTAAGTAATACTGTATTTCCCTTGAGATTTTCTTTGATACGTTTATTAAGCATAAATAATTATTCAAACCATTAATGCATTTAAATTGTAATTTATATTACATTACAGGAAGATTCAAAAGTTTGTAATTATCTTTGAAAACACTAATTCATATTTTTCAACTAAATTACGTAGTTGATATTTTCGGGTAAACATAAGCATTAGCAATTAGCTAATCTGTTACCTACTTAAATAGAATCAAAATTATTTTTATTAATATTTTTATAAAATATGCATTCTTGATTGAATTTTAAATTGCTTAAACTGCCATCAGGTGAGACCCCCGCCGGGAGACAAGAGCCAGACTTCAATTCCTGGAGCCATTCCGGGAGCTTCTGGGAACACTAGTCACATATGTTGTAAGTTTGGTCTTTATATAAACCCTTTATCACAGATTATTTGAACTTTGCAGCTTTTGGTATTTACTTTTGATATTTTGCTAAAATTGTTAATAAGAAATAATATTTTTGGAGAATAACTTTTTAAAAAGATGCATTTTACGGATTATTTGTCATAAAAAGAAGCATTTTACGAATTTTCTGGAATATTTTGGTTTATTTTTGTTTATTTACTCTATTATTACCCCTAAGACTAACTGTATTTTATTTCCGAGCATTATATTATCTAATTTTATTTGGGAATTTCCGAATATTTCGAGCTCTAATTATGTCTACTAAAATTAATTATTAATAAATACACAGTAATGTTTAAATACATCAAGAGTAAAAACGTTAATATAGTGTGTTAATATTTATTCAAATTAAATTATAACTATATTAGAATTATTGTAGAAAATTTAATTTCATTTATTGAACATGTTGTAAATAGTAAGTTATAGTGAAAATTTAATTTACATAAAAATATTTAATGAAAAAGCAATGATGTGCCAAACCATTGTAACCAGATATTACATAATACTCTTAATCTATATTCTTGATTCCACATTATAATTATCAATTTATTCATTTTATCAAAGTTTCTACAGTTTATATTTGTGTAAAATTGATAAACTATTTAATTGTTTTAATTTAATTAAATACAATAAACAAAAAGATGATGTTGATTATCTAAATCTTGATAAAATCTTTATATTTTCATCAATACGGCAGCTATGAGAATATTGTTGAGACACGTATAAAATTATTTTTAATGCTAAAAATTTTGGTGTATATAAAATGTTTACTGCTTATATTAAAGAGAATTTTATAAATTTAACGTTAAGCCCCATTAAAAAGTCAACTTTGGCTTAAAATTACTCACATAACCATGCACATTTAGTTACAATTTTCACTGTATCATTTTGTCCGCACATATCCGGTTATAAGCCGTTGAAGTCAGCTTGGTGATTAAAGCAGTGGTTTAGGAGATAAAGACCATGATAGATCAATAATAGTGGCGTCTAAATAGTGTTCCCAGGTTAATATTTCAAAAGGTAATATTATTTATTCATTCAAACTTATTTATTGACGTAATCTATGAATTATATTTACAAAAAGTGAATGTCATTTGCACTATAAATGAATAGAGAGAACAAATACTGTAGTATTGTATTGCATTGCATAAGTGAAATGCCATTTTAGTCCACTTCAAATAATTGTCATTTTGACTAACAGTCATGTTTTTACAATCAAATTGATTTGATTTGATTGATTTGAATGTCAAACTGTTTGACGACAACAACTCGTTTAAACACGATTTGAGTTTTGAATATTATATATATTTTGCATCAAAATAGCTGTTGAATACTTGAATACATGTGTTTTGTATATTTAATGATCAAATAAAGTGTGATTAAACCGGAATTATACTATTTTATATACAAAAGTGATTACAATATTGATTGTTGTGTTGATTGCGTTGAGAGTTAGATAACTGTCACTGGATTTGAGACAATAGCCACACAATAGTCCACACAATGAGACGCAACACATGTTTACCACTTTTTGTGTTCATATTAAGTATGTATTCATTCAATGAATGCAACGCTCAGTGGAAAGAGTTTAAAGACACAGTTTTGGGCACCGGATGTCTCATCACAATCACACCCAAACTCACCACCGATTGTCTTCAGGCCTTCGACAACGAACTCAACGCCAGAC